ACAATCTTACACCAATAACCAACCTGACAATATCCTATCTAACCTATCTATGTCCCTCTGCGCAATACTAACTGCTGTAACAATCTTACACCAATAACCAACCTGACAATAACCTATCTAATCTTTCTATGTCTCTCTACGTAATACCTACTGCTTCAAGAATCTTACACCAATAACCAACTTGACAATAACCTATTAAACCTATCTATGTCCAACCACGTAATACTTACTGCTGTAACAATCTTACACCAATAACCAACCTGACAATAACCTATCTAACCTATCTATGTCCCTCTGCGCAATACTAACTGCTGTAACAATCTTACACCAATAACCAACCTGACAACAACCTATCTAACCTATCTATGTCCCGCTACGTAATACCTACTGCTGTAACAATCTTACACCAATAATCAACCTCACAACAACCTATCTAACCTATCTATCACCATAAGTCTCTCATAGCGCCGGATCATCATCAGTCTCTCATAACACCGGATCACCATCAGTCTCTCACAGCACTGGATCATTATCAGTCTCTCATAACACCGGATCATCATCAGTCTCTCATATAACTGGATCATTATCAGTCTCTCATAACACCGGATAATCATCAGTCTCTCACAGCACCGGATCATCATCAGTCTCTCATAACACCGGATCACCATCAGTCTCTCACAGCACTGGATCATTATCAGTCTCTCATAACACCGGATCATCATCAGTCTCTCATAGCACTGGATCATCATCAGTCTCTCATAGCACCGGATCATCATCAATCTCTCATAACACTGGATCATCATCAACCTCTCATAGCACCGGATCATCATCAGTCTCTCATAACACCGGATCATCATTAGTCTCTCATAGCAATGGATCATCATCAGTCTCTCATAGCACCGGATCATCATCAATCTCTCATAACACTGGATCATCATTAGTCTCTCATAGCACTGGATCATCATCAGTCTCACATAGCACCGGATCATCATTAGTCTCTCATAGCACTGGATCATCATCAGTCTCTCATAGCACCGGATCATCATCAATCTCTCATAACACTGGATCATCATCAACCTCTCATAGCACCGGATCATCATCAGTCTCTCATAACACCGGATCATCATTAGTCTCTCATAGCAATGGATCATCATCAGTCTCTCATAGCACCGGATCATCATTAGTCTCTCATAGCACTGGATCATCATCAGTCTCTCATAGCACCGGATCATCATCAATCTCTCATAACACTGGATCATCATTAGTCTCTCATAGCACTGGATCATCATCAGTCTCTCATAGCACCGGATCATCATTAGTCTCTCATAGCACTGGATCATCATCAGTCTCTCATAGCACCGGATCATCATCAATCTCTCATAACACTGGATCATCATTAGTCTCTCATAGCACTGGATCATCATCAGTCTCACATAGCACCGGATCATCATTAGTCTCTCATAGCACTGGATCATCATCAGTCTCTCATAGCACCGGATCATCATCAATCTCTCATAACACTGGATCATCATTAGTCTCTCATAGCACTGGATCATCATCAGTCTCACATAGCACCGGATCATCATTAGTCTCTCATAGCACTGGATCATCATCAGTCTCTCATAGCACCGGATCATCATCAATCTCTCATAACACTGGATCATCATCAACCTCTCATAGCACCGGATCATCATCAGTCTCTCATAACACCGGATCATCATTAGTCTCTCATAGCAATGGATCATCATCAGTCTCTCATAGCACCGGATCATCATCAATCTCTCATAACACTGGATCATCATTAGTCTCTCATAGCACTGGATCATCATCAGTCTCTCATAGCACCGGATCATCATTAGTCTCTCATAGCACTGGATCATCATCAGTCTCTCATAGCACCGGATCATCATCAATCTCTCATAACACTGGATCATCATCAACCTCTCATAGCACCGGATCATCATCAGTCTCTCATAACACCGGATCATCATTAGTCTCTCATAACACTGGATCATCATCAGTCTCTCATAACACCGGATCATCATCAATCTCTCATAACACTGGATCATCATTAGTCTCTCATAGCACTGGATCATCATCAGTCTCACATATAACTGGATCATCATTTGTCTCTCATAACACTGGATCATCATCAGTCTCACATAGCACCGGATCATCATTTGTCTCTCATAACACTGGATCATCATCAGTCTCTCATAGCAATGGATCATCATCAGTCTCTCATAGCACCGGATCATCATCAATCTCTCATAACACTGGATCATCATCAACCTCTCATAGCACTGGATCTTCATCAGTCTCTCATAGCACCTGATCATCATCAATCTCTCATAACACTGGATTTCCCTGCAGGTAGGGCGTAAGAATTGTACCTGCTGCCCCCAATTGCATGATCGTAAGAGGCGACTAAATTTGGGACCTTATCTCTTCTCTCCTTTCTAAATAACTTTCTTTTTCCTAATGTCTCCCTTGACAATGCCTCACTTTTGGCCATTTGTTGAGCGTTCGCCCCTGTGAGGAAGGCTTTGGGTTCTGTCCCCTGGCCGAGACATACCAAAGTCTTTAAAAATGG